TTCAATATAACCATCCAAAATTACTAATTTATTATTCTAGGGGCCAGAACACTGTGCTGATGTTTACAGTAATTATATAAATTATGCACTAGGAATGGCTAGCAGACGGAACATTTCCTATTCTCCGGTTTATTTGGATTTGTCCTTGTGTATGGCTTATCAGGACTACCCTAAGTAAAGTAAAGGGATGCCCTTTCATTATTTTAAAATAATTGAATATTAACTGATAAACACAAAGGTCATTTCGTTTTCAAAATGAAAAACTATGACATTCGCCATCTGGCATTGTAGGTATATTTAAGTTTATATAAGTTTCCATTAGCACCGTAATCCCAGTCAGTACTACTTAGGTCAAATAACATTTTCTGTACTCCATACCATACATGTACTTGGCCTTAATATTGTAGTGCATGTAATTATCATTAATTGTAGAACATAAATGTTATGTCTTTTGGGTCCAGTTTGACCTTTATTTGACATTTTGCACAAATCAGACTTAATGTGGTTCATATGCTGAGAATTCAGCTAAGGGCAGTAGCTATGGAAGAAGGATCCAAACTCTGGATTTGTGCCTGGGTAAAAAAAAGTTTAGCTACCCCCCCCCCCCTAAAGATGTGCAGTGTTTCTGAGTGATCACTGACACCACATTTTATCTCTTAGAAGTTATTCTCTCTCTCTATCTCTCTCCCCCTCTCTCTCTCCCTCTCTCTCCCCCTCTCTCTCTTCCTCTACCTCTCCCCCTATTTGACTGACATAACTGGTTACAATTTTTTAACAACTTCTGCCAAGTGACTGACAGGAACCTCACATTCTACAGTACAATGAATCTTAGAATTGGTTGCAATAAACTCTGCAATATCTACAGACTTAGCTGATAGAACCCTACAATTTTAAATCACTCTGTAAACAGCATTAATAACTGCTCAATCCCTAGGGTCAGCCATTAATATGTGCCTACCACCCTTTCCACTTCTAAACCACATGAAATTTCCATCAGCTTATATTTTCCTATTATAAAGGGGACATGAACTGAAGCTAACATTCAATCTGCTTTCAATGGAAGATCCAAGGCACACAAATCCTGAAATATGCTTGAAGTTTGGCTAAGCCTATATATGCTCTTTCCTTTAGTAAAAATTAACTTCAGTCTTGTGCACATGGCTGTCTTATATACCCCCACCCAGCACACTCTAAGGTCCCAAGAGAAACATGAATGGAAGGGTAGGGATGGAAGGGGAGTATTTTGAGATGTAGCTGAGCATTTTCATGATACACCTAAACCAGTTTCTGACTGACCTTTTGAATATATCACATATATAAATATCACAAGTTTAAGCTTGAGAGTTGAAATAGAAGAAGAAAGTGGACAGTATTTATTCTCTATATTTTCCTTAAGGAAATTCAATGGATAATGCTTGTGACAGCACATTCGCGTAGTGGTTAGCACTTCTGGTTTGTAGCACTGGGGGTCCCTGGTTCAAATCCTGGTCAGGTCACTATCTACAAGGAATTTACATGTTCTCCCTGTGTTTGCGTGGGTTTCCTCCCACACTCAAAAGGTATACTGGTATGTTAATTGGCTCCTGTCTAAATTGGCCCTCGTATGTATGCATGTGAGATAAGGACCTTAGATTGCAAGCTCCTTGAGGGCAGGGACTGAAGTGAATGTGTATATTGTGAAGTGCTGCATAAATTGTCGGCTCTATATAAATACCAATAATAATAAATAAAATACTGTGCCAAATGACTTAGATACTAAGGAGCATCCCTTTTTGTTTTGTTTTTTTCTGGTCTTCCATCAATCAGGAATTGCCCTCTGCACTTTTTTACTTTTTCTTTTAAGATGAGGAACTAAAAAGCATTTTGGAACAACCACATTATGTTTTAGTACAGACACAACACATTTAGCCAAGAGTTTTTCCTAAGCTTTGTTAATGGCAGACTAGTTATTAATTAAGCAAGAGAAGGTTAATGAAATGGAAATCAACTGTAAATAAATTAAAGGGAATAGTGAACAAAAATACACATATTTCACATCAGATTATTCATATGTTGTATGTTTTTACATTACTACTTGAATAGCCAAATAATACTAAATACCAAATGTCTTCTGTTTGAACTTGTGTTATATTAGAGACAGATCCCTAGTATTCTGGTAGGGATAGGATGTGGCACATACCCTTACCTGTATTTCTTGCAATACAATTAATATTGATTGATATTATAATTTCTTATAGCTGTAATACTAGAATACATAGAAGTGGTATATTGCATGTGATATGCAGTGCACTATATGTTATAAAATGTGCATGTGATGTAGTGTATTTAGGTAAAACAACTTATAAAACAGGATTACATTTTAGGAAAAGAAATCCTCTCTCTCTCTAAGCCTTTTTGGACTTCCAGTTCCCCATTCTTTGTGTAAAATTTCAATAAGTGAAGCATGTTCCAGCACGTAGGAGAGTTGGTGACAGAATGCTTACAATGGGGGGTTTAATGGATACAAAGTTTCCTAACACTGTACACAAAAACAGGATGTTTGTCTTACCTGAAAAATCAATTTCTTATAGTACATCACAAGACACGGGAAGTTAATTCTTCTATGGATGGGTTATGTAGCTACCTTCAGGTGACTGGACACTGCTAAATCAATTAGAGCTGTACGACAGCCTTATATAACTCCTCCCACTCCCAGTCTGCATCAGTTTTGCAGCAAGCAGTGCAAGAGTCGCTGAACTTATCCCACAAAGCCACAAAATTGAGGGAGACAATAAAATTAACAATACAATTTCAGTACAGGAGGTAGGAGGGCCCTGCTCATGAGAGCTTACAATGTATTAGGTTTATTGATGTACTGAAAATAGAGGCACAGTGCAATATAAAATGTGTACCTTGCCAAAATTCGCACTTTATATAAACAGGTAGAAGCACATATACTGTTATTTTTACATAGATTGACTGGATATGCTTAATTTACATAGATTAGTTTGAGAGGCAAAGTGCAATACATGTGATTTAATAATATTGTCAAACTGTACACACTTTTGTGGTCATTGCAGCTTGCCGGTATAGAAAATAATTTGAACATCCTAGTGCAGTTCATTTGTTTGTTTATATATGGAGCTGTGTCAAAGACCAGGCCCAGGTAGTAAAAAATATGGAATGGTTACAGCAAGTGTTGCTGAGCAAACCGTTAGGAAGAGTAAACAGTTTTGAGGGTGATCCCAGTCACTGTACAACATCAGCTGTAAAAGCACATGTACAGAGAAAGTTTTTGGCAATTTTTAGAGAACCCAGACCAGTGACCTTTGGTAAGGTTGACACAGGTTGCTTTAACTGCAAACAATTTGCACTGCATCCACAAAGAGATAGTGTCCGTTTCGAAGAGATGTCAGGAGACAGGTCCTCTTCCTGAGCTGACAGAATTGGAATTTCTTCTTCTTTTCTTCTTCTTCTGTCTCAGGAAGCTCACAAGCAGGAAACTCAGAGGGAGACTCTGAATGGGGAAGGAAAGGGGGCACGCTTAGCTTCCTACCCTTCCTACGGTCTGAAGACTATAAAAGTTCAGACATTTTCATAATGAAAATTGCCATAACATCAGTAAATTCCTCCCTAAAGATAATAGAGGAGGGAGCCCAGGAGAGAACTGAGAAGGACGCTGAGGTGGAGAGTGCAGGGGGGAAAGAGCACAGCTTGGAGCTAACAGGTACAGCACCTCCAGACAGAACCTTCCCCAAAACCACTGTTAGAGCCTGATGCTCATGCCTCCCAATGCCTATGATCTTCCATTACCTGAGGGGAGAGTCCCCCAATACTTACAAGGAGGCGGATGCCTGGTGAGCCAATATCAAAGGCAGCAGTGGTAACACAGTGCAGCGCTGGCAGAAATCTGGGTCTCCTTTCAGTGCAGAGACACATAAGTAACCCAGTGAAGCAGTGGCAGAGATCTGGACTCCCTTTCAGTGCAGAGGCGTAGCAGCAATGGCAGGTGCAGCCTATGGAGATCCCCAGAGTGAGGCTGTGCAGGGACCGTGTGGAATCCCAGGCTGCCCATGAACCCCGGGGAAATAGCACCAAATTCAAATTATGAGTGGAATTCTAAACCCTTCTGCCATTGGAAACCCCAATTTAAGACCAACAAGGGTAGAGGGAAATTGGCTACCAGGTTTGGGACAAGTCCTTACTTACCACCCTCATAGCAACAGCTTACTCATCAGAACAGGTCACATAAAGAGGACATGCCCCATACAGTCTTTGCCCTCTCGGGGGTATACCCCCAAAAGGGAATCTTCAGGGCCAAGGAACCTGTAAAGCACCCTGCAGCAACTACACACGCTGCATAAACTGCCAAGGAGAATGTCAAACGCAGGATCCAGTGCTCTAGCACATTACAGCGGGGTCTGCATATGGTCCACGAAGGCTCTGCCAAGTAGAAAACTGATCTGGATAGCTGCTGTTAGGGGCCACAGTGATCATGAGCAGCATTTACAGAATCTTGCTAGAAGAGTCTCCAGCAGAAAAGAACTAAGAACACTAGAAAAAACAGAGGCAGCCTAGGAGTGGGAGGGGTTATGCAGGGTTATGCAGGGCTCTCCTACAGCTTTGTTTCCTTTTCCAGTATCCAGTCACCTGAAGGTAGTTGCATAACCCATCTGTAGAATAATTAACTCTTTGTGCCCTAAAAACATGGTTACATAGAAATTATGACTGTGTGTATTGTGAGTCACCATTTCTTTTCATTTTCATTTTTTTCTGAATATATAACTATGAATATAAATCATGTAGTGTATAGGTGTATTCTTTGCAGTAGTGAACATGCTAATTATAAATGATTATCTTGCATCCTGTGGCTTATATGGGTATACGCTCATTTACATAGCTGTTTTAATTAGATGATTATAGGGTATCTGTAAAAAGTACTGTGTATTGTCAAATCAAGTTAAATTCTCTATGTATACATACAGGGAACATAATGTGGTAGGGTGCATTCACTGTCATACCTTCACTTTCAGCACCGATGCAAACATTCTAGCATCTTCTGATACTCCTCCCAGGTAAAACTTTTTTGAAAATTGTGGAGCATGGTCATTTTCATCCTGTATTTCAATGTACACTATAGCTGTGTTACCTAAAGGTGAACCATAAGAAAACATTTTAGCTTTAATTAGAATTTAAAAAAATCAAGTGTAGCAATGCAGGGGAGTCTTTCAGACCAAATTAAATGTTATTCAATCACTAAATTAAATACATGTTGCAAAAAGGAGAACACATTTAATATGAACCAGACAGGTGCATTTTCACAGTGGTATAGATAGTTTGTGTTCACTATGACAAGTATGGGCACATAGACTGTGTGTTGGTATTTTCACCCTAAAACCATCAAAGTATATTTCCAGTTGAAACTTCTTATTTTTTCTTAGTTTTGGATAGAGTGTGGAGGGGTTAAAGCCCATGTTAAGTTTTTATTGCTGTCTGTGTCCCTATTGGGGAAATATAACCTCAATATTTGTCCTGGGGGCCACAGTTAATGGGAAGGAAAGTGACAGGGAGTCCAAAAAGTTATGGTAGTCACCAGATCAGGATTAAAATGGGCTGTGTCTTTAGCGACAGGAGGTGCAGTAAAACGCCATAACTGGGATACAAAAAGCAATAAAAACACGATAATGGTTCCAACACTTTCTACTTTATCAAAAACTAAAAAAAGTTTTGACTGAAGTTATACTTTAACCTTGTGACACTCATACTGTTTAGGTTTACATAATACTATTATGTATGCTTTTAATGCATTCATGCTATGTCCTCTTTCCTTCTCCAGCCATTGTTAAATATATTACACTTACCTGAATATCATTACTGGAGAGATATTTGCTGTGTGACCTGTCAGAAAGTTTGTGGAGAGTCTAAAGGTGCGCATACACCTTACGACCATCGCAAGACTTTTGTCTTGCGATGGTCTTAAGCTTATTAAAAGCTCGTACGATCTACCCATCTTGGACAGGCAGATCGTACTTGCGATCATCGAAAGCCCGCCCCGCTGAGGGGCGGGCTTCCGAGGACCGCAATGCAGAACGGGCAGTGTGTGCGTGCGCACACCGGCCCGTTCCGCACCTGTCGAACGAGCAGGCTAGAAACCGAGCATGCTGGTTCGACAAAAGACGTGCGACCGTGCAGTAGAAACGGTCGCACGTCTTCGTTCACACTGCTCGATTCGCATACGATCGTGGGATTTCCTGCGATTCTCGTACGAGAATCGAGCAGTGTATGGGCACCTTAAGTCCTGTCTCATTCATGCTGCTGTCAAGAATTAGAGCAACAGTATATGAGCAGGCTTGCCACTGGAATTCAAGTGTGTATGGAAAAGGTGCTGGAAGCAGGACTGGAAAGGTTTGGCAGAGAGGTTGTGTGCTGCTAGGCAGTTGACACAGTGAAGATCTCCTTGCAGCTGTGTTTCAGGTACATATATTACATTATATTACTAAAAGTGTGCATAGCCTTAATTACTCCATATCATTTATATTTTTGCTTCCACAAAGAAACCTAGTTCATGCATTTGGATATGCTCCCTTCCAGGAAATTGGCAATAACATCTATTCATAGATCACTGTTAACGGCAGCCAGAAGGTAGAGGTTTTTTTTAGCATGTGATTACCCCTGTGATAATCTTTGTGAATTTATTTCTACATACACAAATGCCTCAAAACTAATTGTGCCTTATGCAATAAAATTAACTAATGCATGCAATAAAAGCTCCAATAAATTGAAAACAGTATTTTTTTAAACTATAAAATGAACAATTAAAGCATGGTGAGAAAAATATTACACTTTAATGTCTTTAACAATATAGCATATTAATGTTTTACTTTCCAGATGACTAAGACAAAATGACTGCTAAGAAAAATTGTATGCTATATGGTGTATGCAAAGCAAACACACTGTGGGGACAGGACGTTGCCTAGTAGGGCTACAGGACTGTTGTTTTACAAATGGTTTCTGTCTGATAGGGTACACATTAAGAATGTAGCATATAGAGGAGGCCCAGTGTTGTTAACCTGCCTGAGAAACTGCCCGCTGACCCTCTTGCACTTACCTTTAACTTTGAAACAGAAGATAGCTACACTTTACTAACTTCCAAATGCAGTATTTAAACTAAGAGTAAAATTCAGAATCAGGTGTACACAAACATTTCTGGGATTTATCCTTCTCCACGGATCAAATGAGTTTGAATTTAGTGCCAATATATAAACCAGTAGTTAAAATGATTGAACCCTGTATAAAGACAGTGCAGGTTTGGACCAATGTGGCTATATCCTTGCAGGATTGTTTTGAGGATACTGCACGGGATATTTTTGAGAAACAGGATGTGGATGAATGCAGTTCTGTCATATACAATTTTTTTTATTGGGAATGTGGTTTTGGAGAAAGAATTTAAAGTATTTCTGAATTGAGAAACTATGGCTTAATAAATAAGTGAGGGGCTGTTGAAGGCTAGGGATTTAGCACTTAAGTCAGGGGACAGCAAGGTTTATAAGAAAACTTTTGTTGGGAAATGGAAAAGGGTGTTCAGACTGCAAAGCTGGCTTATTAACAGTGTATTATGGGTAAATCTAAAGAGAATGATTCCTGTACTATGTGGCAGGGCATTAAGATTGTAACTGATTACAAATAAGCAGTAATGTGTCATGATTGAGGGTTTGTTGATCAGCTAAACCCTTTTTTGCTCGGTTTGAGATGGATGTGGTTATAAAGGATGGTGTGTTTGATGATCTGGTTACAAATGATCAACCAATTAGTTTGCAGAAGAGTCAGATAAAGAAGGTATTGCAGAGGATTGATGTTGTAAAAGCATCAGGGCCAGACAGTATGCCAGGGAGGGTATTAAAGGCATGTGCTAGTCAATTATCTGTGGTACTGACTGAGATTTTTAACCTGTTGTTGCTGCAGTGTAAAGTATCCAACTGTTTTATGCTGCTCTCTGTCACTTAGAGAAGCCAAGTACTTATGTGAGGATGTTATTTGTGGATTTTAGTTCTGCCTTTAATAGCATAGATCCTAATAAAATGTATAGGAAGTTGCAGGTATTAAACCACATCTTGAAGTAATGTGGTCTGGTTTAGTATATGAAGTGGGGTAATCCTGGCCAGCCAAGCTGCTGCTCAGATAAGGATCTAGTAATAGATTTTGGGTGGGACACCACATCAATGAAAAAAAAAATTGTGGGGTACCCCCTTAAATCCATACCAGACCTGAAGGGACTGGTGTTAATTTTGGAGGGACCCCGCCATCTTAATATCTATAGCAGACCCAATTCTAGAATAAGAGTCTACTATAGATGAAGGGAATCTCAAGACAGCAAAATCACTGCTGCCAACCAAACTGATTTTTGTATTTTATTTGGTACAAGTGCTTCAGGTCCCCCTATGTCTGTTGTTTGACATTCCTTTACCTAGTCGCTTAAAAATGGCCATTATTGATATATAAGATTTGTTTTTTATTTAATTCAAAGGGGTTTATATTATAAGTATATAAAGTTAATTTGAGTTCATGGTTAACATGGCCACTAGCCAGAAGGCTGGGAAAGAAAAGAGAAATAAGGTATCCAAAGAATATAAACCTGCAATTATCTATATATTTGTAGATTGTCAGTACTAAACATTTCAAAAGGCGTGTTTGTTGTTATTTTAAAGATATGGGTAAAGGTCCACTTTAATTAACACTTTTTTGTTATAAATCTATATATATATATATATATATAT